GGTGATGGAGCCACACTGATGGCAGCCAGAGCCCCTGGAGATGCCTCCACCACCATTGGATCCACAGGCCTTTCCACCCACCGGCCTGCAATCATCCTGCATTTGGCATCATTGCAGGTGCCGTGTGAGTCTGAAGAGGAATTTATGGACTGATATTGGACATATTGGACTTATGAACTTGATCTGGACTGAGCTGGGATGTTTTCTCAGTATACAATTGCTCTCTGATATAAAGCTCTTTCTTACACACATATGAGTGTCAATGAATTTGTTTCTCTCTCCTACCCGGTCTAACACAAGCCAGTCCTGCTCACCACACGCTGTCTTTTCTTTTGTATCAACGTACGTCCTGACTCGCCATGTGTTTTCCTTTCTTTAAGTATGTAGTTGTTCATTGGAAAGAGCCTGGGTGGTGCTGTGGGTTAGGGATTGGGCTGCTCGCTGCAAGATCAGACATTGATTGAGTCAGGTGATCAAACCCAGCAGCTGCTCCAGGGGAGAAAGATGAGGCTGTCTGCTTCCATAGAGATGTGTAGTCTTAGAAACCCTATAGAGAATGAGTGTGAGCCAGAATCAACTCAGCGGTAGTGGGTTGGGTTTGGGGTGGGTTATTTATTCTACACTTCCCTCCACTGCAGTGCAAGCCCTGCATGACAGAGATGCTCCTTTGTTTTGTTCACTCCGGTCCTAGAACCGTGCCTGCATAGAGTGGAACTTTTTGCTTTTTACTTGAGTATGGCCCGCTTTTAAATCATTATCTATATGACGTCAACATTAAGAGTGGCAAGTTTAGGGGGCACTAAACCTAATTAAAAGGGAGTACGATAATGTGTGTAGAGTCAAGGAGAATGACGATGGAACCTATGTTTATGAATGCTACACACGTGGGTTGCCGAATGAAGGCGCCCTGGTGGCATGGTGGGATGAGCATTGGGTCGCTAACCAAAAGGTCAGGCGTTCAAACCCCTCAGCTGCTCCACAGGAAGGCGATGAGGCTGTGGGCTCCCATCAAGATTTACAGTCTCAGAGCGCTAAGAGACAAGTCTACTCTGTCCCAGAAGGTTGCTCTGAATGAGATCGGACTCCATGGCTGTGGGTTGGGGTTTACATTGTTCAACGGGAGTATGTTTTACCTGGAGAAGCCCAGGATTCTTCCACCTCCTCCTGCCACCCCCTTCCTCCGTGGGGAGCCTCTGTCAGATGCAGCTCAGAGAAGGGACTGAAGAGCCTGTGAAACAATCCACTCACACCCCACCCCTCCCCGCCCCACCAGTGTGGGCTGGGCTCAGGGCAGCCAGAGAAAGCGGGAGACGTGAGATGTTCTAGCTTCAGTCTTTGGCTAGAGGTTTCAGTACTAGAGGACACATTCGAGTTTATTTTAGGAAAGGCGTTTCTAAAGCACAGAGTACAGAGAGAAGGGGTTGGGGGGCTTCGGAACCATGGTCTTCTCCTACTCGCCCTCAGATGGACCAGGCCCCTGAAGCCCTTAAGCTCCACAGCCCCACACCAAGAGCTCCTGACCAAGTTGGTCAGGTCACAGCAGTGAGCTAGATCTACAGCAGTCCTACAGAGGGGCCCCAGAATTGAGGCTATCGAAGGCCTTTTCTTCTTCCTCAAACCTGGCATGAGGATGCCCCCAAATTGCTTGCCTGTCATTTGGGGACTGAAGAGGTGCTGGTTTCAGACGCTGTCTCTAGTGACTTCCCAGACCAGCCCCCCACCCCCAGCCTGAGATCTTTGGCCCAGCCCCTCCAGCTCCACAGCCCCAGGCTCCTCAGAGGCGAGGGGAGAAGCCGGCCACCACGATGCTCTCCCCGGTGATGTAGCTGGCGTCTGGGGAGCA